CCCCTCAGGACCAATAATGAGTAGTGATACCAGGATGGTAAGGGGAAGGTGGGGTAGAAATGGTAGATCACAATGATCTATAAACCCCTCCCTGGGGGATGGACAACAGAAAAATGGGTGAAGGGAGACATTGTAAGACATGTATAAGTCATGAAAAAATAATAATAATGTACAAATTATCAAGGGGGAGGGAGGGATGGAGGGTGGGGGGAAAATGAGGTGCTCATACCAAGGGCTCAAGTAGAAAGAAAACGTTTTGAGAACGATGATGGCAACAAATGTACAAGTGTGCTTGACATGATGGATTGTGATAAGAGTAGTTTGAGCCCCCAATAAAATAATTTAAAGGAAAAAAAAGAAAATTATGATGGCAATAAATGTACAAATGTGCTTGACACAATGAATGGATGTATGGATTGTGATAAGAGCTGTAAGAGCCCCCAGTAAAAAGATTTTTTTTTAAAAAGTGTGAATGTTATGAGACATGAATTCTCTCAGTAAACCTGTTAAAAATGACAATAGGAAAAAATCTGGTATCTCTAGAATTTTTTAAAAGCCATTTAACTCTGTCTGTTTTAAACGGTGACTATTTCAAAGGTATATTAGATGATTCAACAAAGTTTAATGAGTTACCCCTTTGGTCTTAAAGAATTAAAAAGTGACATAATTTATCTATTATGAAGGAAAGTGGAATACGCTCACTTGGTGGGGTACAAACTAGCTAAGAGAATACATTCCCCCTAGGGGGCCTTTTCAGGAAAAGGAAATATTTAACACCCCCTAGGCAATTAAAAAACGCTTGTACTATATATATAGCCATCAACCAGGATAATAGGGAGGTATCTACTTTTGCATCCCTCTAGTCTCGGCCACTGTGGGGAACACCGAGAGAGCAAAGATCAAGTGTTCTGGGTCACACCCTCGCTGAAGGTTAGTGCACATGACCGTTTACATGGATGCAACCATTTGTCAAACTCAGACCTGTGCATGTTACTGTATGCTATCTCAATTTTAGGACTGGAATCCTTCGTACAGTACTTGATTTGTATAAAGTCATACCTGAGTTTCCTGGCCAGTTCCAGGTGCGTCCTTTGAATACTTCAGAAACTGGGCCACATAAGTCATAATAGACTTTTCATCCGGATTATTAACGTCCACGTCTGCGAGATATGACACACAGTCAGCTCGTGATGGTATGATGTATCATCACTAGTATTCCCACACAGGTTATGCCGTGACACAGCTGGAAATGAACCAAAGCTATGACGTCTCTGATCCCTGGCCCTTAGCTCCAGGACTGCGTAGATCTACAGTCAGAAAGATCTGGATTGAATCTTGGCACCACTCTCTAGAGTCTCAGTTTGCTGATCATAGTGTCCCTCTGCATGGTGGACTGGGAGGGGTAGGTCACAGGGAGGGTGGAAAGAAGAGGGGAAAGGCTTCCTCCTTCCAGAGATGCGGGGCAAAGGAACTAACAGGAACTGGGCTCCATTCCAGACACAAAGGCTTTGCCATTTGTGCAATAAATCATTTCACAGAAGATGAGCGAACAGGAAGCCTCTTTTCTCTATTTCTTGACTCCGTTCCTTTAAAAGCCATGCAATAACTATTTGGAGTGCCAACATTTGTAGGTCAAAAGCAGAGAGTACAGTCTTAACCTTCAGGAACTTGATGCTTGATTCTTTTATTCATTTAATAAATAGATATTAGATGCTGGAAATAGGACATCATCTGTCCCACAAGAAGCTTACAGTTCAGAGAAAACAAATAGTGAACAAATCGAGCACTCTGCACATTTGATACTGCTGTGGACCATCCTAAGGAATGTGTTCCCAGGTGAACTCAATCAGCTGAGGGAGAAAGTAACTCTAAGCCATATACAAATAGCATAACTCAAGGCAGTAGGCATATCCAAGGTCCCTTGGATGGGGCAAAATGACAAACTGAAAGGTCGATGGGGTAAAAGCATTTACAGGGACCTTGGAAGAAGGACCTAATGCCCTTCTTCTGAAAGGTCATGGCCTTGAGACCCCGTGCAGCTGTCCTACTCTGCACATATGGGGTTCACCAGGCCTTGGCATCAACAACAGCCACTAATGTCAACAACAAGACGCATGCAAAAGGCTGGGGATGGAGTTTCAAAAATCAAAATGCTCGCAAAAGTTGAGTTATTCTACCTTTTACTGAGAAAGATATAAATATCAAGACATAAGTTAAAAGAATATTGACTTAACTGGTTTTTTTTTTTAAACTTCCCATGGCTTATAAAGCCATGCATGACGATAAAATGTTTATTTATTTATTTTAAATACGTCAAAGGATAATTCTCCTATTCCAATATGGCTGTGGTATTTGGCTTGCATCAAGAATCATGCTTCATTTTAAGAACTGAGCTGTTATTTAAGCTCTCTTTCATGAATTTAGTCTTTCATATTGTGGAGAAACTTTGCTTTTACCTCATTGCATACTTTGTTGCCTGTTTAATTGGAAATGCCAAAATAAAGAAATTCCTCTCTAATAATCACAGTGGTAGTAGTGTCAAAACCATCCAACCAGAGATCAGAAATTTAGAGCCAAGCATGAAGAGAAAGAAAGAAAAATAATAACAGAAAGGCCAACAGGAAACAGAAAAGGCAGGGAAAGAGGGGAGGCCCAAGGGGCTAAAGAATGTGAACAAGAAGGATACATAATAAGCAAGGTAAAACTAGACTGGATACAATGAATGTAAATAAATATGGAATCATTATGCTAATTGTGAACTTACAAAAACGATCTTACACAACTCTGTAATTTTTGCATATTAAAAAATCGGAGGGCCCCAAAGAGAAAGTGCCTAATCCAAGACCAGCGTGTCCCTCGTAGCACTAGTTGGCAGGCGTCAAGGTGTTTGATGGGTGGACGGGCACCCTTTCAGCAACTTTGTCAGTTGGCTGTTAAAGGCAGCCATAATTAAGAAGTAAATTATAGGAACACGCACCAAGATAAAGTGGATCAAAAATAAAGTCCATGAGGACAAAGCACTAATCATTTCCTACTTATTTTACATTCTACTGTTATCTACACTCTCGGGGAGGGGGGGTGCACAGCTGTCCTGTGGGAGTTTGGAAGTAGTCTACAGCAGGGTGCTACTGCCCATCTATAACCAACTCTGTGCTCAGGGACTTCACATCAGGAGCGTGGAACCGGCAACCGTGGGACGATTTACACCATGAAAACCGGCAAATGAGGGCCTGACTTGTTATTTTACTGATACAAAGAAAGAGATGGTGAAAATGTTAGCAATGTAGATTAAACTTGGAGTACATCATTTGTGTGTGTGTGTGTGTGTGTGTGTTGCATAGGTACATATATGAAAGGGCTTCCAAAGAAATGGTGAAACAGGGGAACTAAAAACTAATGGAATTTCTCTATGAACTGCTTGAAACTCCCTCAGACAGGGCGACTTGTATAGGAACTTGAAAAAATATTCGTCCGGCATCAGATTCACCAACAAGTTGCACCAAAAAGTGACGTTCCGTGACATGTCTAATCTAACACAGACTGTGGCACGCACTCATCACGTAAATGCTCCCCGACAGTGGTCAGGTCGGGGCTCCATTTGATCTTCGCCTCTAACAAGAGTTGGCGACAGAGACAAAAAAGCCTTGTGGGACTTTGTTTAATTTATAATAGAGGGCTTACTATTTTTTGTTTTACTATTAATTGTAAACTGTGTGCAATGCACCCTCTATATTAGTAAAATTTATAATAAACATGTGTCATTATATAGTTACAGGGACATGGTTTTTTAAAGGGTCATTTATTCAAGATTTACCAGCACACAGTGGTTCATTCCATTTCAACTCCCTGCTGAAAATTTGCCTTTCCACTCAAATATCCTGAATCAGAATCGACATTTTAACGAAATTTCCAATGAGAATCACGTTTGCCTCGCAAGCAGTCAACTGTAATGAACTGGGTTGTAGGCCTGAGCCTAGAATGTATCATTTGACCTCATATTTCGATATAATGTCATCAATCCTGTGTACCTCTTTTCTGACCTGACTACTTTAAAAAAAATAGATTTGGGTGGGCATATTATGTAACAATAACCCAAAATAGATTCCTTTTCAAGAAGAACTGGATAAATGTAATCATAATTTATGAAGTTAAAACAATTTTAATTTGATAATGATCATTGTGACTACAGCCAGTACTTCAGTTGTTTGTTTGTTTGTTTGTTTTAATCTGTCAACAACCCAACACCACTGAGCACAACAAATAGGCACAACTAGGTAAAGTTCAGAGGCAGAGGGAGAGAAAACAGCCGTGTCTCTTGTGAGAGAGATTCCCCTTCAACCCCAGCGTGGGGACTAGGAAAGAGCCAGATACGTAAACATGGAGGAATCCAAACGGAAGGAAACATATCTTCCAGGAGACATTTTAAAAGAGAAAAATAAAACCAAGGCGACCTTGAGTTGGAAAACGAGAGAAAGAGTGAAAGAAAAGGTGAGGTGCAGGCTCAAGGCATCCCCCCAACAGCTCTGTTGCTTTGAGCTGGGGCTTTATCCCATAATTTCCTACATTAACGGACTGGTAGGGAGTCTTAGTTGCCTGAAACGCAGCAAGGAATGTGAGGACCACAGGATAATGCTGTGAAGTTTAGTAACTAAATACTGCTGTCATATCTTCATGCTGGACATTAAAATGTGTCTTACGAAGAAAGAAGCTCCTTTACCTTCTGGTTCCAGCAATTTGGGGATTTTCAGTTCTCGCTCTGCAATTCGGAAGGCGTCTTTCAAATTGTCTCTGTTGCATCTATGCTTCACACTGTTCAAATCAATTAAGTCTGGTCGCAAGGCATGGATGACAGCTAAAAAAGCCATCCCATTTCTCCAGCTGGACTTAAAATCTGTAACATCGACAGACTCATATCTACCACAAAAGGAGGAAAACATGATAAACAGTTATCAAAACAACTACATTATATTCCCTAGGAATTAATGCAAAATTCAGTGGAACAAGTAGAGGATAGAAATTGTGATAAAAATATATTTAATTTGTGAGCAAGTTTAAGTCAAAGGTTGAATTTGGTGTGGCTCAATATACTGCAGAAGACTACTGGTTCTCAAAGTATGGTCCCATGGCCAACAGAATCAGTATCTTGATGAACTTGTTACAAACATATGATCTTGGGCCTCACCCTCAGAAAACTCACTACCACTGGATCAACTTGGACTCATAAGGACCCTATGGAACTGCCTCTTTGGATTTCTGAGACTGAATAGAGAGTCTCATCTTTCTCCCAGGGAGCACGCTGGTTTGGAACTGCTGACCTTGCAACTAACAGCCCAATGAATAACCCACTATGCTACCAGGGCTTTTTGGACACACCCTAGACTTGTGAATCAAACTGAGTCGATGGGTGAGCCATTAGTTTGTGTTTAAGATGACCTCTGGGTAAGAATGGTTTGGAAACCATCACGGTCGCTCAGTTTCCCAAAGGTTCTTCTAAGGGGTGCTGGAACAATCCAGGGGGGCTGCAAAGGCAGATCCCTGGACTTTATCCTGGATTCTGGGCTACAGTAGAAAAGGTTTTAATTTCCAGGGGGCCAGAGTCTTTTTTTTTTTCCCCTGAAAAAGGGGGCAGTAGACGAACATGTGCTTGTAGCTATTCTCCATGCAACAGCCTGCTGACTCACAACTGACTTCAGACTTCTCTACATAGTTAGCATTTCTCATTATAAGAGACAATTTTATTTCTCTGAGAATAAACTGAATGCTATATTATGCCAGGTTGATGTGTTACTAGCTCACTAGACACATTCTCTTGCCTGAAATCCTTTATCTGAGGAAGGATCCACGACTGTTTTGTAAAAGTGTATGCTTGTTCGTAAAGTTTGGGAAATAGTCTAAAACAACTCCTGTTATGGTTGCTTGCCATCAAGCCAATTGTAACTCATGGCAACTTCCTGTGTGCAGAGTAGAACCGCCCTTCAGACTGACCTACCAGGAGCGGGTCACCAGGACCATGAGATGTCTTGGTAGCAAGCTGCTACCTGTTTGACTAGTAGGCAAGTGGTCAACCTCTTCATCACCCAGCTGCCTAGAACAACTGTTTCCTTTACTATCTGTGGTAGTTACATAATTTTGTGCCAACTTGAAGAAACAACAAGTGTAGGGATGGTGCCTCCTTGTGGGTGTGACCTTCTCATAAGGGGGTCCTGGATACTTCTCCCCGCATCCCCCACCCCCGTCCCTCTCTCTGCCTTTACTGCCTTCCTGATAAGCCATGCTGAGAACTGTGTGAGCCCCGTGATAAGGCCACTGCCATTGGATCCACAAGACTTTGCACCCACCGGCCTGTGATCTTCCTGCATTCTGCATCATTACATGTGGCTGCATGAGTTTGGAGAGGGATTTTTATGGAATAGTATCGGACTTATGGTCTTGATCTGGACTGGGCTGGGATGTTTACTTGATATATAATTACTTCTTGATATAAAGCTCTCTCTTACACATATATGAGTGTCTCTGGATTTATTTCTCTATTCAACCCGGCCTAACACATTGGGGGGAATGTGGGAAGACCATTTAATGGACTTACTTCAGATATGATTCAAATGAAAAAAGCTTGCTTCTCTTAGAGAAAAATACCTAAACTGTGGCTTTGTAAACTACACAGTAGTTAGTGGTTTGTGTTGTAACACACACATGCTGCTTACAGTGTCCAGGTATTATTAAAAAAATCTTAAAGATTCATTCTTATGCTACATGTAGCAACGATGAGGTAAATATTACTGTCCACTTTTTCTCAATGAAGAAACTAAAGTACAAATAGATCAGATGGCCAAGGTCATCAGACAGAAATCAGTGGGAGCCAGGATTTATACCTGAACCTAAACCCAAGTGTTTCTGACTCTGGAAAAGGCTCTGAAATAACTCACGGAACTGATAGGCGGTTGGAACAGAGGAGGGGCCAGGCCACTTGCAGAGAGCTGAGGCTGGGCCAGAACCAGCTCAGCTCTGACTGCCTGGAGCACTGTGCATGACACAGCACCAGGCCAGGAGGCCAGTGTCTCACTCACAAGTCAAAGCCAGGACCACAAAGACATGCTACTGCCAGGTCTTGGGGAAGGCGAGGGTAAGTGCCATGGGATGACTGGCGGTGTTCAGGCTTGTTTAGAAAAGGGCACAAACAGAATCTGGCTTGTCTGCTGCATAAGTAGGAAAAGGAGACATTTCTAACTATATAATCTTGTATCTGAATCCCAGGTAATCCCAGCATACTGAAATACAAGTTACCTTATAATACAACTAAATGACAGTCAAAACTAGGTTGACCACATCCCGAATCACTTAAGGCCAGGTGCTCTATCCTAATAAGCATCGGCCTTACATTTGAAAAATAAGAAGAGAAAAATGGATTGCTGTAATGTACATAGGATTTGAAAGAGTTTGAAGGTTATTTAAGCATAAATGAGACTAACTGGAATATGATATACAAGTGTTTTTCATGGATGCTTTTGGGATTTTATTAAACTACAGAGCTCTCTAAGAGATTCAAGAAGAAGTTCATAATACAAACTATGCACGTTGCCTCCCTCAAAGACGACAGAGTACGAGTGGCAAGGGGAGAATGAGGAGACTGAATGAGGAGGTAACCATCTAGCCTTTCATTGGACAGAAGTCACTCACAAGCCCAGACATTTCAAAGGGGACAACAATGAAATTGATTGTGGCAGCAAGTTTACAACACGGCTTGATATGACTGAACTATGGAACGGTAGGATGTCTGGATTAGGTACTAATAAAATGGTTTGAAAGAAAAAAAATGAAGAGAATGTTCTAGAAGTGATTGTGGTGATGATTATACACCTCTTCTTGATGTGACTGAACTATTGAATTGTATATGAATTATATAGCAATAAAAAAACCACGGGGATGGGGGAGGAAATTACAACAAAACCTTCATGACCCCATTTAGCCCGGCAGTGTTACATGTAACCAGGAATACCTTCTATACTCTGCGGCTTCTCTACAGCCTAATTCCTTATTCTTCCTAAACCATAACCCAGCAGAAAGTGGTGAAAACGAGAAAGTAAATGTCTTCCAGAACAGGAAAACAACAACACAGTTTTGGGAGAGGGTCGTAAAGAAACGGTGGGCTGTTAACCACAGAGTTGCAGGTTCAAATCCACCAGCTGCTTCATGGGAGAAAGACAAGGCTATAAGTTCCTATGAAGACCGATAGGCTAGGAAACCCTTAGAGGATCACTCTGACTCCACGGCCGTGCAGAATGGTTTGTTTGAGGCGTCTACTTTCTTATTGTTTTGTTTCCTTATTAAACGGTGAGTTTCTAAACACTGGGGCCTGTGGTCACTCAATGTAATTGTATACAGTACCAGGAGGTAATTCCACCTTTGTCTTTAGGCACAAGTCCATCTGGAAGGTCGATTTAGATTCAAAAAGTTTCATCATGCTAAAATCTCTTTAAAAGTCAGGACTACCTATGCTGACATGTAAGTGACTGTGTTCCCAGCACCTGACATACTGCATGTGCCTGGTGGGTGCTCCATCCACAGCTGAATAAACAGGCAAATGGACTGAGGGCAGACCCACCATGCACCTCCATTATGTCAGGTGCTGGGGACACACAGCCAATGGAGGAGAATCCTGACTGTTAAAGAGCTTTTAAGATGGCAAAACTTTTACAATTTAAATCCACCTTCCAGATGGAAGCGTGCCTAAAGATAAAGGTATTTCATGACGGTTTTATTTCCACCCAACCTAAACACAAGACAGAAAGCAGGTAGGTTACGCAGACCAGCCCACGTTCTTCCCCTGAGGACTCAGAGTCCCTCAGCTTCCCCACCTCCCCCACTGGAAACCACGGTGAGAGGAAGGGGAGGGGTGAGCATTTTCTTTTCATGAGACAGACTGTCTAGGTGGGTGCTATCCCCAGTCAGCCGGATTCCCAGACCTGCGGCTAGCAAGGTGGCATTGGGAGGTTCAGCTACCCTGTGGGTCTGCTCTAGTCACGGCAGTATACTTACGTGGCACACTGTTGCTGAGCCCACAAGAGAAGCGCCTTCTTTGCAGACATCTGCCATCTTGCTTGGGCTTTGGAAGACTTCTTAGCTGGAGGACTTGCGGTAGGAGATGAGCCAACCTCACTCTCTTCGTCCAGGGAGGGTTGATTGTAATTGCAGGACAGAGTCTGGGCAAGCTTTTCGATCTAAGGAAGAGAACATAAGAGTGAACAAACGCAGAATCTTGAATCGCAGCATTGGCCCACGTACGACAGCTAATAAAAGACCTACAAGGTGTTCTGTAACGGCAGCTGTTGACTAGGGAGCAAATCCCTGAAGAGCGGCATTTCGCGTCTGGGGCTGCGCTTGGTTTGCCTTCAGCCTCCACAGGGATCATGGCGTGCTCTCACCCAGCAGGGCATTCAAGTCTGAGGACCCGCATCTACTCCTTTGACTGGGTGCTCAACCACTGTCGCGGCAACCTGAGCCGAACTAAACGGAGTTCCTATTCTACACTTACCCATAGGGTGGCTGTGAGTCAGAACCAACTTGATGGCACCTAACAACAACAACAACAACAACATTCTGAAGAATCCTTGACCCAAAGCCACCCATAACGCCCACTGAGCAGGACCACAGAGGAAGGGGGGAGGGGACGTGTGCAGACAAATCTCAAGAAAGAAAACAAATTGGCATACGAATTTGAAAAATATCTTATTATGAATATACTAAATCAGAATGCAAAATCAAAGAGTACATGTCTTTTTTTACATCTAACACCAGGTAAAAAAAATTCAAGATGCTCTCCAAATGGTGGTGTGAGCACAGAAAATTGGATTATCAATATCTCGCTGGTAAAAGTACAGAGCAGTTCCGGCACCTTGAAGAGCAATCTAACAAGGTATGTGCTAAACTTTCAAAGGAAAATCCACAAATACGTCTTGTAGGAATTGATGGAATAATCGGGCAACCAATAATAGAAGATTAAGCAAAGAGATTAACCAAGTTGATCAGATTTTTCTAGGCAGAATCAACCTTCCAGGCAGGTGCATACGGGACACTGACTCACACCAACTACGGCGGGCCGGCTGGCCAGTTTCCGAAATCTGAGGGATGGGGATCTCGCAGTGTGCTCTCTAATGGAAGCGAAATTGAGCTACAAGTCACTACTAATGCTACAGCAAGCACACTCTCCAATTCTTTGAACATTAAACAAAATCTTTTTCAATAACCCATAGATCAAAGAGTGACCAGGGTAAAATTAGAAAATACTTTCAACATAATGATAGTGAAATTAAAATCACAGATTGGAAGATGTAATATTTTGAGAATGTCAGTTTTTCTCCAAATCGGTCTATAAACTTAATGCAATCCTGATAAGAATTGTAACAGGTTCTTTTCTCTTGGTAGAAATTAGTGGATTACAAGGAGGCTTTCCAAAAATCAGGGGGAAATTCAGTTCTTTTCATTCCATTTTCCCAAGAATTTTTGAAACCCACTATTTATAAAATGCATGTCTTTTAAAAGGACAAAGAGTACCCAAGATAACCTTGTAAAAAAGAACACATCAGATGACTTACACCATCAAATATGAAGAATTAACATTTAAATACAAACATTAATAAGTATAATGCTGGTATTAGAATAATACCTATACCCCCCTGAAAAATAAAACTGGTGCCATCAAGTTGATTTCAACTCATAGCGACCCTATGTAGTTTCTAAGGCTGTAACTGCGGGAGCAAACTCCCTCTATCGTCTGCAGTGAGTGGCTGCAGTCTGAGGTCTGGTGCCTGCACAACAGCGCCACCAGGTGTTAGGACAGATTTTAAAAGGGAGCCAAGCCAAAACCAATTCACTACCATGGAGTCAATTCTGACTCACAGCCACAGGACACCATAGGACAGGATCGAACTGCTCCTATAGGGTCCTGAGACTGTTGCTCTTTAGAGGAGTAGAGAGCCTAGTCTTTCTTCCAAGAAGCGGCCAGTGGTTTTGAACCACATATGTTGCTGTCAGTAACCCAATGTGTAACCATGATGCCAGCAGGTTCTTTCCCAAAAGGGAACAGAATAATTGAAAAAGAGAACAACACATGGACAGTCACTTAATTTATGAAGGTGACATTATAACATGATACAAAAATGATGGTCTCTTCAATAAATGGTTGAGTCAGCTCGAAATGCATATAGAAAAATTCGTTCAACATGGAACAGTCATAAGATCAATTTGTTCTAAACAGATCAATGAGAAATATGAAACATGCTTCTAAAATACGGGTTCTCCAATGCAATCGCCATATGTGTCTATGTAAATTTAAATACATCTTAATTAATTTGGGAATTAAATTTTCTCAGTTACAGAAGCCACATGCAAAGTGCCCTCTTCTGTGCGGTGAAAACAGAACATTTCCATCCCACAGAAAGCTCTACTGGATTGGATAGTTCGGGAAAGTAATGGAAGAGAAGTTCTTCACGATGTTCGGATACGCAAATGTCTCTAAAAAGTACTAGCCACAAAAGGAAAAGAAATAAAAAGGTGATAAATTTAAGCTTCATTAAAAGATTGAAGCAAGCCAGAGTCAGATAAAGTATTTGATACACAAAACCGAAAACAGAACTCTGCCATTCAGGCGATGCTGACTCAACGGGAGCCTACAGTCCAGGGCAGAACTACCGCACCGCTGTGAGTTTCCGAGACCGTAACTCTTTCTGAGAGTGGACCGCCCTGTCTTTCTCCCACGGAGCTAGTGGCTGGTGGTCAACGAACTGCTGACCTTGCAGTGAGCAGCCCGACTCATAATAGGCGCCAGGGCTTCTCTTCCGATACACAAGGGGGCTTCAAAAAGTTTATGGAAACACAGACTGACCATGGCTAGTCATCATAAGTCTAAAGAATCAGAACCATTATTTTCATTGCTATTTTCTTGGTTTCCAAGTACAATAAGTCATAGGTAGTAGGAACTGAAAACTATCTATGGAATCAAATGAATCTGCGAGTTCGTTTTGGGTCAGAACAAGATATTGTAGAATTATTTAGTTAGATTGCACAAAGGCCCTCATAAGTAGGGATGTTTCAAAAACGTTAGTGGCTTCATTGTCAGGCATTAACTCCAGCAGCTTCCTTCTCTTCTGTGTCTTAATGAACAAATGAGAGCCAGTCACTTAGGATAGCGGTTCTCCGGGTCCTGTCGTTCAGGATGGCATAGCTCCACCCTCGACTTTCGGTGGAAATGCATGTCTTCCATTACAAGAGTGTGCTGGATGTGCTCTGCCTATTAGGACGTTCCAACGTCCTATTAGAGAAATGTCCACGTTGCATTTACTTCAGGGCCCTCGTTTCGTACTACAGTAATTCAAGGAGACAGAATGTTCACTGCGTCCTACTTACATGAAAGTGCAGTATAATTGTCCAAATTAGGCCAAGAATAATGGATGGGTTGCCATCAATAATATCAGTAACATGAATATTTATTAGCTTGATCTGGAAAAGAAAAAGGGTGAATTAAGAGGCGAAAATATCTCGTAGCATTAATTTCTCCTGAGTTTTCACATGAAATCCACACTCACCGATCGGTTTCGCAGGAATGTCAGAGCATGTTCTATGTTGGTTCTACACTGAAACGTATTCGATCCTTTATCTCGAGGCTTTGAAATTCAAACAAAACATCACTCAGAAATATTAGAATTTTCCCCCCCAAGAAAAGCATCATAAAATGCATCTTGATGTCATTTAGCTGCTTACCAACTCTTGTCCTGAAAGTGCTTCTAGCAGGTCCAGGAGGACGTGCCCCTTTTGAATGTCCGTGAAGAGGTCTGATACAACTGTGGGGGTGGTGTGCTGCAAAGAGTCACAAGGAGAAGAGTCATTCAAACTCTGCTATAAGAACACAATGCCTCGGGGGTTTGAATGGAGAGAAAATGTTTTGAGAAACGATGTACAAATGCGCTTTACGCAATTGATGTGTGTATGGATTGGGATGACAGTTGTATGAGCCCCTAATAAAATGTTAAAAAAAAAAGAACACAATGCCTTTGAGAACCTCATCCACGAATGTTGAGCCTCCTGGGTAACGCGGCTTTCTTCTTAATTAATGGGATGATCAAGACCATACAATGTCCCATATCAAACCAAGATAAGAAAAGTAATGCGTCTACTCTCTCTCCCGACAAACTCCCCTGTAACACAATACTCTTTGATGGGTGGACCTTGAGCTGAGAGTCAAAGGCCTGTGGCCAGAGCAGCATCACAGTCATTCAGAATCAGCAAACGGTGACCCACTTGGAGAGCAGGTGGCACTTCCAGAGTACAGCTGCCATGTGTTTCTCTTTTCAGAAGAGCGGGCATTGAGCTTGGATGGGCACCTAGGGACGGCATGCATGCCTCTCAGGAGAGGCCGCTTCTTCGTGGATCTAGGTTGCACGGGCACTTGGCACACTGAAAGCCAGGAGGGTTGTGATTGCCGTCGAGGCCTTTGAATTCAGCCTGTCTCGGTCTGTATCCTGGCACGACCGTGTGCGATTTGGGTGACCTCAGACAGTCACACAACTTCTCCGTACCTCATTCACCCTGTCCTTTAAGCGGGAATACTATCTCTCTCAGGGATGCCGGGATGACTAACTTGAGTTATTACATTTAAAGAGCTGAGAACAAGGCCTAACACATTGTCAGCACTCAATACGTGGGAGAGCTTCAAAAGGTGCGTGGGAAATCTTCCATTCTCTTTTAATTCCATTTTCCCAGGAAGTGTTGGAAGCTTGCTTCATTTAATGAATGATCTGTGACCAGACTAAATATTTTTATTTCACTGTCCCATGTCATAACAAAAGTGAGCTCTTTTAAAAGTCTTGGGAAAGAACAAGAACAGTCCTGCCTCCCCCTCCAAAAAACACCCCAAAATATTCAAACAAAATCAGGTGACTGTCAGCACATTTTCAAGAACGACATTCGATTGTCTTTTATATGGCCAACTTCAAATTGGTTCTTCCCAGTTCAGTCAGTGTAGACAAAGTGAAACAGGAGCAGGCTTGAACTTGTAAACTATGGGATGGACGATAATTGAAACAGAAAAATTACAAGTCATCACCCTGCTAGAAAAGGTAATCTTCCTCTTAGAAAACAAAGGCAGCCACCTATCAAAAGATATAGCG